TTTGGTTATAGATAAATATAAAAATAATTACTTTTGTTAATTACAGAGAAATACGGTTCGTCTGTGGATTCGACGATATGGTAATGAGGGCGTGCTGGAGACACGACCCCATTTTCCACGACGAACCGTCCTGACAGAGAACCGTATCCAACGACTCACGACAGCGTACGAGCGAGAACCCTTCACACCCACAAGGGTTTTCGCTGAAGAATTCGATTGTAGCATCGGTCAATAAGAAATGGGCTGCGAAGTATAGGTGTTAAGCATAGAAAAGCGGCAAAAAAAATTGTACTATCGGATGCTCACGAAGCGGCACGTGTTCGCTTCGCACGGGATTACAGAGATTTCGATTTTTCACACGTCATATTTTCAGACGAAAAAAGCTTCAAGTCAAGCCAAATCGGACGCCGACATTTATGGCGTGTGAACAATACAAGATACGAACCTCAGAATGTGTTACCTAATAATGAATCGGGGCGAATAGTTGTCAACATGTGGGCTTGGATGAGTGCGGCAGGACCCAGAGAACTTGTTTACATTCCAGGTAGAGCAACTGGTGTCTCGTACCTGGAGCTACTGCAAGATACAATGTTGCCGACTGTGAGAGCGGTGTATCCGGAACAGAAACATCAAGAAATTACTTTCTTGCATGATAACTGCCCTATACATCGCGCTCGTGTCGTGCAAGATTGAATTGAGCAGCAGCCAAATTTTCGGGTACTGCCTTGGCCATCGCGTTCTCCAGACTTGAATCCCATTGAACATTTATGGGCTATGATGGTCCAGCGTTGGGATCCAAGATCAGAGAGAACGAAAGAGGCATTGGTCGCACATGTTGACAAAGTATGGGAATCATTCCGAGGTTCGGATCTTTGCGAGACTCTCGTAAACTCAATGCGAAGCAGATGCGATGCCGTTATAGACGCAGGTGGAGCTTTAACTAGATATTAAAATAGCATAGTTAGGCTAGCCATGGGTGGTATTTTACAGATGCAAGCAAATATCGCCTAAGACGGGGTAGGCAGACATTTTGTTGACTGTACCGTACTCGATGGAATCATCAAATTCACTGACAAGACGATTGAACAAAAAGAAATTACCTCAGTATAAACTATCAATTCGTGAATAACAAACAAGGAAGATGAATCAAACAACATGCAAGTTTTAGTAGACGCACTTCGGAAAATGCAAACGGAGATCGATGAACTAAAACAAAAAAACAACCATAGTAATATAAAAATAATTACTTTTGTTAATTACAGAGAAATACGGTTCGTCTGTGGATTCGGCGATATGTAATTGGGGGCATCCTGGAGACACGACCCCATTTTCCACGATGAACCCTCCTGACAGAGAACCGTATCCAACGACTCACGACAGCGTACGAGCGAGAACCCTTCACACCCACAAGGGTTTTCGCTGAAGAATTCGATTGCAGCATGCAATCAATAAGAAATGGGCTGCGAAGTATAGGTGTTAAGCATAGAAAACCGGCAAAAAAAATTGTACTATTTGATGCTCACAAAGCGGCACGTGTTCGCTTCGCACGGGATTACAGAGATTTCGATTTTTCACACGTCATATTTTCAGACGAAAAAAGCTTCAAGTCAATCCAAATCGGACGCCGACACTTATGGCGTGTGAACAATACAAGATACGAACCTCAGAATGTGTTACTTAATAATGAATCGGGGCGAATAATTGTCAACATGTGGGCTTGGATGAGTGCGGCAGGACCCGGAGAACTTGTTTACATTCCAGGTAGAGCAACTGGTGTCTCGTACCTGGAGCCGCTGCAAGATACAATGTTGCCGACTGTGAGAGCGGTGTATCCGGAACAGGAACATCAAGAAATTACTTTCTTGCATGATAATTGCCTAATACATCGCGCTCGTGTCGTGCAAGATTGGATTGAGCAGCAGCCAAATCTTCGGGTACTGCCTTGGCCATCGCGTTCTCCAGACTTGAATCCCATTGAACATTTATGGACCATGTTGTGTCCAGCGTTGCTATCCAAGAACAGAGAGAACGAAAGAGTCATTGGTCGCACATGTTGACCAAGTATGGGAATCGTTACGTGGTTCGGATCTTTGCGGGACTCTCGTAAATACGATGCGAAGCAGATGCGATGCCGTTATAGATGTAGGCGTAGCTTTAACTAGATATTAAAATAGCATACTTATTATTAATGTAGCTACCATCACACGAACGTTCGTTACTTCTCGTAAGCGACACATTAAGCAAAGATACCGCACACGATGAAATCATCAAGCTCACTGACAAGACGATTGAACAAAAAGAAACTTCAGCAGTATCAACTATCACTTCGTCAATAACAAACAGGGAAGATGAATCAAACAACATGCAAATTTTTGTCGACGAACTTTGGAAAATGCATACGTAGATCGATGAACTAAAACAAAAAACAACCCATTATTACAGCAGCTGTAGCGGACCGCCACAATATTATTATGCACAAAAAAGGAACGACCACAGAACGTGGTACGTCATATCCCGTCTCTCGACTCGTAAAACCCATACTTGCACAACGTACAGTCAACAAACTTTCTGCCTACTCCGTTTGAGAATATATTGCTTGCACAAGTTTACAACAGAACGCCCCGCCCTTTTTTTTCTTAGCCAATGAGCAACTGAAGCCCTTATTAGTTTCCAATGTAACCAGATGGACCGTCTGTATTGTCTAAGTTTCTTATGACTTTTACGAGGTTTGTTCGGTACACTATGAGTCTGTTAGTTTAGTTGCAACTTTGGCATCTTAACATCCAGTACACTTTATCATAGAAAATAAGTTCTTCAAGAAATTAAAGTATAGTGGAGCGAAGCTAAATAATTCATTTGCGAAATGCAGGAGAAAGAATTGCCGAAATCATAGAAGAATTAAATGTGTTGGATAGTAATTATGGAAGTCTTTTCCTTCTTTTCATACATGGGAATAAATCCCGTTGTCATGATAATTTGGTTTTTAGATCAGTATAAAAATAATTACTTTTGTTAATTACAGACAAAAAATACGGTTCGTCTGTGGATTCGACGATTGCACGATGAGGGTGTCCTGGAGAGACGGCCCCATTTTCCACGAGAACCATCCCGACAGAGGATCGTATGTAACGAATCATGACAGCAAACGAACGAAGACCATTCACTTTCACCAGGGTTTTCGCGGTAGAGTTCCATTGCAGCATGCAAAGAATTGGAGATGGACTACGTAGTAAAGTTAAGCACCGAAAACCGGCAAAAAAATTGTGTAATATGAAGCTCACAAAGCGGCACATGTTCGCTTCGCACGGAATTACAGAGTTTTCGATTTTTCACACGTCAATTTTTTCAGACGGGAAAAGCTTTAAATCAAGCCAAATTGGACGCCGACACTTATGGAGTGTGAACAACACAAGATATGAACCTCAGAATGTGACCTAATAATGAATTGGGGCGGATGTTTCTCTACATGTGGGCTTGTATGAGTGCGGCAAGACCCGGAGAGCTTATTTTTGTTCCAGATATAGCGACTGGTGTCTCGTATCTGGAGCTGCTACAAGATACAATGTTGCGGACTGTAAGAGTAATGTATCCGGACCAGGAAAATCAAGACATTTCTCGTGTCGTGCAAGATTGGATTGAGCAGCAGTCAAATCTTCGAGTTCGCCATCGTGTTCTACAGATTTGAATCCCATTGTATATGTATATGTATGTATATGTATTGAACTTTTATGGGCTATGATGGTCTAGTGTTTGGATCCAAGATCAGAGAGAATGTAATTCGTTTCACCTACACAGAATGCTCGCACTTTCATCTGAATTCAATTAAGACTTGGTGAAATAGTATCAGGAGACCCGCCAACGAACTTGTTCGTCTTGTATCACCTGAGGAAGAAGAAGATGTGTTAAGATAAATAACTGAAGACCCCAGACACAGTGTAAGACGAATTTCAAATACACTTAATATGTCGAGATGGACTGTGTGATGAATTTTAAAAAGAAATGACTTCATCCCTACCACTTTTGGAGAATGCAGGACATTAGGCAACCTGATTATGCTACGCGGTCCACTTTTGTCTCTTAAATTAGTAGGAGAATGCGAAATGACCCCAACTTTTTAAAGAGTATATTATGGACTGACGAGGCATCGTTCACTTGGTCCGGCATCACAAATCACCGAAACACACCTGAAAACTACTGTGCGACCAAGTTCATTTCAACATGAATTTTCGGTCAATTCTTGGGCAGGAATGATCGACGACGTTCTGGTTGGATCTTTAATTTTAGCAAGGACAATGAATGGCGTCAGATTTTTGGAATTTTCGGGGACATAGTTTTTTGATGCTTTTCTGGAACTACCAATAGCATACAGAGCCAGAATGATATCACAAATGGATAGCGCACCGGCCCATTTTGCGAGAGGTGAGGATTCATTTAGAGGAAAATAATTCGCCGTAGATCGGACGCGGTAAAACTGTGCCTGGCCACCTCGTTCTCCAGATTTCACTCTTCTAGATTTTTTTCTTTTGGGCGACAATTAAACAAAATGTTTTCTTCTAAAATACGTAATACGAGAGGAACTAATATCAAGAATTATTGCTGTTGGGGACGAGATCAGAGAAAACAGAGAGATTCGCCGATCAACCCAACAGTTAGGAATAAGGGCAACTGCTTGTTTGCAAAATCACGGAGGCCATTGTGAACAATTATTGTTACTTATTTGTATTTTTTTTAAATTGCTACAACATTATTATTATTTTTTTAACATTATATCTACTTGGATTTTTTAAGGGGTCATAATTAATTAGTCACTAAACTATTTTACTTGGAGCTTTGATTATTGAATCAGTGTTTAGGTAATGTCTTCGGGTATTTAAAAGGTTTTAAAAAAGGTATGTTGAAATATTATTAAGTAAAGTTTAAACCAGCCCACTATCGATCTATCTATCAATCTATCAATTTCACCGTCCTCTTTTGCTAGTAGGTTAATATCGTAATATGATTTACGATTTTTTAATTACCACATAGCCATATCGATCAAAATTTATATCGAAAACTAATTGTTCATCCGCCATGATTTTAATATCGTCGTACATATCCAAATCTTCTTTGTAGAATGTTTTTTGTTCAGGTAACATACAGAGCACTTTTGAGTTGGGAATTTTCAAACTTTTCTTCGCTATTTCATGCAGTCGATATTTATAAGTAATACGTTTGCAGTTCGCTCCTGCAACATAATATTCTCCCTTATACGGCAGCGCCCGCGTATCCCGAGCTAGCAAACGTTCCCAAGCACTCTTAAGGTTTTCAAGCATACCGTGTCGTAAAAGACCCTCGTCAAAATTATTAATTATTACGAATGTACGCTTATCTATAATACCGGACGGAACAAAATTCCTTACAGGATGATCTACGAGAGTGATCGAGTTGTCTTGTCGCTCTAGCACAATGCCTTGCACGAGCTGGGTGAGGGCAGGCGATGAGTTAAAGCTCACAGTGGAGTGCGCCTTGCACCCGAGGGCTATCAGCGCCGGTATAACAATGCCACCGTCCATGTCTAATATTCGGTCGTATTGAGGTTTTATCTCCATGTACATGGCGGATCCGTATGCGGCGTTTCGTGTTTTATCGTTATATAATCTGAACAGACCTCTGTCAAAGATCATTTTCTTCGACTCGTTTATTTTGATTTCAACAATTACAAGGCTCGAATCGAGGTTAAAAGCTTTTTCGTAGTGAATCAGTGCCTCGGCATGCATATCGTAGCTGTAAAAGATGTCACCGATGTCAGTCAGTAGAACGATGTTACCGGGAAAAGCGCGTAAGGCAATAACGCACGCAGTACATCATTTCGAAGCTGTGTCGTGGCATTTTGAACAACGCTTCCATTAATTTGGCCAATACCACGCGGAATTCGTATTCTATATATATTTTTACGGTTGGGTGCTTTTCTATTGCTGTTAAATAAGAGTTGAAAGCGTCTCGGTATTCTCTTTGTTCAGTCAAACGACGAGCTTCATTAATCTTCAAATAATCCATTCGGAAATTATTATGTAAATAGCACTTTAAAAGTATAAACTATCAATAGAAGCTATTGCACACACAGTTATTGCACTTTTAGTGGACACTTGAAGGTTTATTTCTCACGTCCGGAGTACGTCCGGCGGGTACGACGGTCGCGTATGAACTGCTGGGTTGTTATATGCAGTCTTCGTAAGTCGGAGCCGTAGTCAGTTTGTTAACTTTATTTGTCTTAACAACAAAACATTTTTTGATGCACAATACAAGCATGGTATTTTTTTATTAGTATTACGCTTTGACCTTCTCGGAAATAGTTTGAGCTTTTAGGTTACGGAAAGGGATTCTATTTTTCCAATTGATTAGTCCGATGGTGTCCGATGGCACTTTTAGTGGACACTTATATCATATTGCTGATCTAAACATATAAGCAGACGGAATCTTTGGCAACGATTTCTTGTCAAAGGTTGACGCACACATATTTGTACAATCTATGACAATGCGAATAAGAAATAAAACTTATTTAATCAAACGAACAAAACTGTATGGTCGATCCGAAACTGTAATCGTATGTAAGACTGATTCTGTAATTTCAGGCATTGCCATTATTAATAAACAAACTTTATGCGAAGGCGTCGTCATACCTCGTTAGTAGATGTAAAAGCTAATTGTTTCTTATCTACATGTGTAAACATCAACGAACCCAATATTATAATCACCACTCCCAATTTAGTATGCGAACCTTATGAGATTGAACAAATCAGTCATATAAATAGGAATTCATTTGATTCCTACAAGACAAATCCAGTTAGAACTAATAATATTGTTAACTTAATAAGAAAAGATCCTTAACAAAGAAGAAATGGAATCAATAGATAAGATTGCCTCTAAATATGCCGAAATATCTCTGACGTTCAGTAATCATACTAAAGACACTGGTCCTACTACGTCAGATTTACCAATTCATTCAAAACTTATAGGTTCCCTCAAATCCATGAAAAGTAAATCAAACAACAAGTCCAAAAACTGTTAGATCAAAAGATCATTAGACATAGTTCTTCTCCGTGGAGTAGCCCTATTTGGGTCGTTCCCAAGACGCTGGATGCCTCCAGTAAACAAAAGTGGCGACTTCTCATAGACTACCGGAAACTAAACGAAATCACTATCGGGGATAGTTATCCCTTGCCCAATATAAGCAATATCCTTGACAAATTAGGCTATTCGGAATACTTTACCACGTTAGATCTCGCATCGAGATTCCATCAAATCGAACTAGATCCAAAGGACGAATCGTTGTTTTGTGTACCTCGATGACATTGTCATCTTTGCATCTAGTTTACAAGAACATGAGCAAAAACTACAAAAAAGTATTTGATAGACTCCGTCCGGTTAAGAAATACAACCCGATAAGTGCGAATTTTCAAGAAAGGAAGTAGCATTTTTTGGGCATTTAATTTCTAGCGAAGGAGTAAAACCGAATCCCGATAAGGTTAAAGCTGTCAAAGAATTCTCTGTGCCAAAAAACTGCAAAGATATCAAATCTTTTCTTGGTCTTGCTGGCTATTGCCGTAGGTTCATACCCAATTTTAGTAAAATAACTAAACCTTTAACCGGGCTACTAAAAAAAGATACCCCTTTTGATTGGACTGATCAACGACAAGAAGCTTTTGAAATCTAAAGATTTTTTGTCAGAATTTCCCATTTCACAATATCCCGACTTCTCAAAAGAATTTGTCCTTATGACAGACGCTTCGATGAATGCAGTAGGAGCTATTTTATCCCTAGGTCAAATAGGAAAAGACCTTCCAATTGCTTATGCATCAAAAACGCTAATCAGTTGAACGCGAATTACTAGCCATAGTCTGGGCAGTCAAACACTTCTGTCCATATCTATTTGGACGCAAATTTACCAACGTCACAGATCATAAACCCCTCACTTGGTTATTTCCAATAAAGACCCTGGTAGTCGTTTAATCCGCTGGCGGCTTTAACTTGAAGAATTTGACTATACTATCGTGTACAAACAAGGCAAAAATAATGCCAACGCAGAAGCACTCTCCAGACCTCCTATGGCCAATGCTAATCAGATCTTGTTATCAAATTTTCAACCTCCAATTAGATTATGAAGAGAACGCACAAAACCGCGATCAGTCTTATAATACTTCTCTTCTCAACATAACATCAGACTACCTATTCAACCAACAGCACAAAGAAATCCTTATACCTATTTCTAATAACTCATCCGATCATAATTTTCTATCCATCGATGCTTTAAGCTTATCTTCTCAAACTGAATATTATTTTTAAAAAAATCCAAATACTCTACCAAATAGACCAAATCCGTTCAACCACAAATCAAATTCTATATCTAGGCGTTAACCGACAACATCATTTTGACCCTTGGAATACCGATGATTATTTCAAATACCTTCTATCTTGTCTCCGTAATTATAAATGTAAACTTTTATACGTCCCTGCACGCGTAGCATGACGAACGCGAGAACGTTTTGTCTACACTCAAATGGCACTTTTCTCGGGTGCGCTCATACGATATCTCACTCTCGACCCGAGAAACTGACAAATGAGTGTAGACAAAGCGTTTCTCGAGTTTGTCATGCTACGCGTGCTGATCTGAAACACGATCGTACTTGTAAATTACAAGGTGTTATATAATGCCTAGCTCACCTACACTACATAATAATAAGAACTATATACCTAAACCTAAATACTATCATAATTGTTGTTAAAAAAAGGCAAATTTGCCATTCACCACGTCACAAATTTGGTACACGGCAAGTAACAAAGAATAACACTAACGCATTTTCCAAGCGTGTCGTAAAAGCCGACTAAGAGGACTTAAGTTAATTCTATATCATAATCTCTAATTCTATATCACAATCCTCTACAATAAGTCTAATTCTATGTGATAATGAATCTAACTGTAGTTCATAATAATCTAATTCTTCGTCATAATAAATCTAGCTATACTTCTTAATAAATAAGTAAACATTTTATATTTCTATTTTTATTATACTCGCTTACAATTTCATAAAAAAGAGTTTTTTTTTTTTTTAATTAACTCACAATAACTTAATTTTAATTACAGGACCTTTTGCTTGTCAGCAGCAAATGCTTCCTACATGGATACCTTTATCATACTCATGAATAACCCATTCATAAGCTTTATTGTATGTTCCATTATAAAATTACTATTTTACATATTAATACAAATTGTACATGTTAGTTAAGAATTGTATTCGTAAACGTAAAACTAATGAGACAATTTTGTCGCTTTCAGGGCCTTCTATGGTACCGCTCTCACAAACAGTATAGAAATACTCGAAAATCTTCCAAATCATTCAGGACTTTTTTTTAAGAGGAAAGCAATATATATCCTTCCGATGAGACCTGGAAATTAATAGTATATAAAGACCTTAAACCATTATTTATCGCTCAAAATTCGCTAATAAGACTCTCTCAACATAATAATTTCCCTGACATACAATCCACAAAATCTTTCTTAAATATTAATATAAATAAAATAGAAAATCGACTTTCAGAACTTAATCTATATCTAGGTAAGAATTCCAGACAAAAGCGCGAATTAATTGATGGACTCAGCTCAGTTTTAAAATGGTTGATTGGAACACCCGATGCAAAAGATGCTAAAAATATGACGAATGTATCGATAAATTAGAAAAACGCGAATTAGATATAACTAAATTAATGGAAAAACAAATCCAAATAACGTCATCTACTGTCCAAAATTTTAACGAGACAATTTTTAAAATATCGTATGATGAACAAATTATTAATGAAAACCTCGATCGTTTAAACACATATTTAAATGCCACTGAAAATATTATATTTGACATTCAAGTAAGCGAAAAGATTTCAATACAAATTCTAGAGTCAGTAACTAGCTTAGAAAACGAAATTAACGATTGCCTTATGAGTATTTCATTTGCCAAATCCAACACTATACACCCTTCTATAATTAATATAAAGAAACTCTATGAAAAACTTCTTTTGTCTAATCACATTCGCACCAGTAAACGCTTAGTTGATTCAGTCACACTAAACAATATACACACCATATTAGAATCATGTACTCTATCTGCATATGTTTATTCCAATCGCTAAGTATACATTATTGATTTACCTTTGATCCAAAGCGATCCATTCAAGACATATCATATTTACTCAATTCCCATTCAACATCATAATTCATCATATTACACCACCATCCTTGCTGAGCATATGTATCTTGCCACAAGCCCAAATGGACAACAATACATCTCTACGAGCTCTCTGGACAACTGCAAAACCAATGCATCAAAGAAGATGGTTTGCACCAATCCGGTCGTCTACGATTCCATCACACGTCCCATCTGCGAACTTCAGATACTACACAGCATCTCGACGTCGCTGCCTAAAACCTGCGTAACTACAACGTTCACTGCATCCATAAATACGTTCCAGAACATCGACAACAATAAATGGCTCTACATCGTTACGAATGAAACACAATGTGTCTTACAATGTTCAAACGAAGTGTCACAATACAAATTACAACGAGTCGGACTTCTGACCCTACCAAAGAATTGCAAACCATTTACTGGATTCAGCACTCTCACCGCATTTCAGACTTCTGAAGAAAATGTAACTTACCCGATTATAATGCCCGATATAAAAATGAAGGATTGTTTCGAATACACAAGCAACATTAAAGCTCCAAATC